TGCATTTTTGAGCATAACTTACAATTCTGAGTTTTGATGTTTTTTCCCAAAATTGGCCACGAGGCGCAGCAAGTTGCGGGACTAGGTGACCTGCACCATACATTAAAGTTAAAGAGCAAAAAAATCGCACCACTTGGTTTCCCCACATTTTTTTCGCAACACAAATGTAGAGATATTTCTCTCGGTCCAAGGAGCTCAACTTTCTACATTTAGCTATGACATCCAGTATTCTATTGTAACCATCATAAAATCACAACATTGTACAAAATGGCCTAATTTATGAAAAATAAAATACTAAATATAGTGATGCCAAACTTTCACAACAATGATATTCTTTGGCGTCACAATATTATAAAATCAACTTTGAAAACCATCAAAATAAGCAAGTTGATGATCATTTGACAATCGAAGAGTCTTGTCACTATCGTTATCGCGTTATCCTACAACGTTATTTATTATTTGTATTTTGATTTTTTTCAATTAAGCGAAAGATAAAAAGAAAAGATTTAATTCATTACACTGTTTAAAAAACGATTAACTGTAGTCATCATATGAAGATTTCATTATGTTGTTTTAAAAAGATTTTTTGGGGATGGGCAGAAATTCTTTACAATTAATAATCGAATTACAGTCCACTCTCCATAATAATAATAATAAACGGATCTTTGTATAACGTATACCGGATTGCATCTGAAGACCATTTCATATTAATATGACCTATATCAAATATATAAAACAACGCTTTCTATAACGGATTCACGTGATCTAAAAATAGAAAAATGCAAATCTCTATGGTTGGCTCGGTCTAAAGACCTCATATTGCTGCGCCACGTGTTCAAATTTCAAAAAAGCGATTTCGTGATTCATCAAAAATGCAATAAAATTTTTTAAAAAAAGGGTTTCACGTGATTTTGGTTAAAAAAATTATTTTCTTTACTGCCAAATTTAGATATGATGGTCGAGTGTTAGTCTAAATTTAGTAATTATAATCAAAAACTAATCTAATTTAGCAATGATCCCAGTGCTCAAATTTCTCATGAGCATAGTAAATTACATGTTTTAAAAAAGAGTAGAACTCTACAACAAAGAATTTTTTGAGAAAATCTCTTTATTACATTAAAACTAAATACATATTCTATCAACTAATAGAGTTATTTTTTTAAAAGATAGGACAGAAAATGACTTCTATACTTTTAAAATTTGCCCAAAATTTAGGAGATCTTTAGACCAAGCCAACTATACAAATTTAAAATAAAACTTGTGATATATTAAATAAATAATGATATAAGACATGATGTACTATTTTTGAATTAAAACAAAGAGCAGAATATCACTATAAATTTAATATACAACAAATGACATATACAACAGTCGAACT